TCAGTTCCCACCCCCTCGTTTCCGTCTCAGTCGAGATAGTGGGTGTGGGCGTTGCCGCTTATGATCTGGTGTGCGGTACTATGCGCGTTGTGAACGATTGTGCCACCCACCCCCCGCCGGCCATACGCGGAGGGCCCCTTCTCGGGCTCGTCCGATGGGGCCTAGTGGGCGGTTCTGAGCGTCAAGACGCGTCGATGTCAGTGTGGAGGTGCGGCTTGCCGACACTATGAGGGCGCTGTCAACAGTGTGATACATTTATAGTACTAATATCTAGGGGCCGGGGTGGAGGAAGTTCATACGGGGCGTACCATTTGGGAGTGAATAAAGGTACGGCCAGGCGATACTATTCCATGTATGGAGTTGCGTTGGGGATATAGTTATTTTAAAAATGCTGAGGAATAATCGGCGGAGGCAAGGTTTACCAACGCAAATGTTTTATAGTTCGCCTCAACACAACAAAACAAACGAAAAAGCAACAAGAAAAAACACAACAGCACATTATTTGTTCAGATTAACGTATTTCTTTCTGTTTTCGTAAAAGGCACTCGTGGCGCGAGACATCTTAAGAATATTATTTACTTAATTAATGGCTGAGAGAATAATATTAGCGGCAATATTCAGGAAACATTTTTACCTGTTTTATAAAATACAAATAACATTAGTTCGTAGAATATATTAGTAACAGCTTTGTTAAGTTCTTTTTGGTGTAAGCGTAATTAATTAATAATCGATTTTTAATATGGCATGTCTCGTAATATCGTAGTCAGTCTTTTGCTTTTTCTTTTGGTCAGCGAGTTAGGCGCATTTGTAACTGAGGTTTCCACCCAACCAGGAAACCCAGTGATGCTTCGAGTGCTAACTTCGTGGCATCATGGACGTAGTTAGAGCATGTCGGATACGAGCCGTGCAAAGATTTCGCAACCCATGATTTAAATTATAAATTTCCGGATCATGCGCTTTGGTCAGAGTAGCAAATTAAAACACTAATCATTCCAATTTGCGACGATTCGGAATACTCCGGGATGTAAGAATCAACAGCACTTAATAACACCCACGACATAAGATTAGTTTAAAGTCTGTTCGTAAAATAATTCAATTGCTATCAACCTTACTTATCCTAAGTATAAACGCTTAATCCATGGGCTCACGTAAATAGGTTGTTAGCAGACTTTCGTCGACACAACTTCCAAAATGATTATAAAGACACAATTCTAACCGCCACACACATCCACAGAAGGCCAGAGGGCATCAATGGCAAAATAAAGCAAGGCATCTCATGAAGAGATAAAAGGTGCCAAAAAGGATTCCGTGTTGTGGTTCTGTTGAATGAGGCAATGATTGATTAATTAAGTCCAAAACGAAATCGTGGTGTGATTGTCTACCTTATGCAGGCTTTAGCCAAAGTGTGCCTACATGCTAGGGATAGTTTAATTTCCCACGCAGGTGGGAGGTAAGAGAAACATAGGGTGGAATATGAGTTCGCTCTTCACCGCAAAATAAGAATTTCAACTGCAGAGGTTTTTTCTACCACAGCTCTGCGAGAATTGGAGACGATTTTTAAAGCAAGTTACCACTAACTATCAGTTTGTCCGACTATGAAAAGGATCCCTGGAATGCACCACGAGAAGCTAACGGCTATCATGAAGCGCTGGTTAATATTTACATGTATGATCCAATACTATGCGTCAATTGAAATGAAAGTGTGACGTAGTTGAAATACAGAAATTAAATTTCATAACAAAAGAAAAATATATTAAAGAAATTATGTACAAGTTACAATGAATTGCTTAATATTAAAAACCTCCGGCACCTTTTTCCTTTCAGAACACTGTTTAACCGCAAGAAAGGTACAAGCACGCGTGATGCGCGCTGTCGGACGCTCCGTCGTACAATTACCGGGTCACTATAGGCTGCGATGCCGAAAAGTTTAACCGCTCGTGCGACCGTGTGTACCACGGCGAATGGACCAGGAAGATCGCGAGATATCTGGCTCTTACTTCGGACATCTCGCAACTCGTAACTCTAATACATACACGTACAAGGTCCCCGATGCTAACTGAATAGAAGAACGCGGGCGCAGATGGCGCCGGCGTGTAGATAGTTGAGGCTGAACGCGCCGGACTGTTATAGATAGGCTCGGGCTGGCGCGCAGCTTGGTTTATACGGACCACAACACAGGATGTATCAGGTTGCTCGCCATGCTTATTCGATAAAGCGAGGCTCGCTGTAGCATAGCTGTGTAGTTATACAGCCCACGGTTTATTTTTGGCTCTGCGGCTCTTAACTGAGTCACCGACGCAGAGGAAACTCGGAAGTTATTGCTCAACCCCTTCTGGGACACTGGCGAGCGCACTTTCACGACTAAACGGTTCCTGTCCTTCTCGTGTTTACAGGATGCCATAAAAGTTTCAGTGTTTATGGTGGCGTGGTGCAGATTGTGTAAGGCATGTAGTTCCCATAAGTGTAATGCAAAGGATTTTTTATCAGGGGTGGCGGAATCATTCCCCTGGATGAAGAGATTCGGCGTCGACCTAGGGATTTAGGCTTGCAGGGTTTCCTCCACCTGATATCTCTGCAGAACAGGGCACTACCCCGAGCCTGAGGAAAGCTCTTAAGCGTCGAACTGATCTCTGGCCAACATTTATGGAAGTGATAGTTGCGTGTAGGGGCGGAAAGATAGGACAAGGAAGGGGAGGAGCACATACGTGCAGCAGGCCGAGCGTTTGTTTAGAGTACTTGCTTCGGCATTTCGCCTGGTGTTAATCGGTTAAACACGGAAGCAACGGTATGATACAATGTAGGATGGCGGTACCAGAGGGGCAGATGCTGAATTCGGACCCTAGCTAAGTGTTTAGGTCGGTTGTGCGAAAATCCTGCCACTCTTGAAAAAGATGGGGAGGTCAGGGTACTACGTCGGAACGTTGAACCTAGAACCTCCCGGTTCAAAAGCACTGTAGTAGAATTAATTAATGCCTAAACATCAAAGTGGATAGTGAAACAAAAAGAGTTAGGCTTCTACGTACAAACATGGCATCGGTGCGTCATGCCTGAGGATCGCGCTCCAACGCATCTGAATTCCTTCGCCTACCCCGAGAATCACTCATACCGTCCCTCTGCCCTACTTGGGTATGGAAGGCACCACACATCGCCGGCGGCCGGCTTCTGTACGCGCCAACCAGTAACTGGGACACGACGGCCCCGAGTATCGCACCAAGTATCGTCATCGCTAAGCTCCCACGATCATTGCCACCACAGCTCGCATCTCTTGCAACCACGCTATGCCACCAGTATTGCACCATACATCTGTATCGCACAGACTGATGTCACAATAATCGCCAGCTATCGGCATGCTATCGCAACGGGCTACTTTGTCTATCGCTGCGGATACGCCACCGTAAAAACGTAGCTTCGGTGATAAGAGGCCACCACTGATTATGGGCACTGCTATCGCCACTGCTAGCACCGGACAATGCCATCCGCTAACCCGCGGCAGCTAGACGCTTCCGGGTAGTTTTGCTCCAGACTATCGACCAACCAGCTATCATGAGCACTGGTATGAGCTCACCAGGCGTACGTGGGCCATCACGCTACCGCTACACAATCGCTACCGCCACCGCTACCCAGGCTTCCGCTAATGGCCACCGCGATTATGCAGCCACTATGCACCGCTACTACTCCACCGTATCTGCCACCGGTATGGCTACGCCATCGCTATACGGACCGGCTAGGCGGGGCTTCCGCTATCAGTCACTAAATGAGCAGCGCTATCGGCACCCGTATCGCACCGCTACCAGGGCATCGGCTATCGCACTATACCGTTCGTAAGTTTTGCCACGACTAGATCGCACAAGCTATGCCGAGCATATCGCTGGTGGCGACCGACTATCGCCGACGGTAGTATCGCCACCGCTATCGACAAATCGCCACGAGGAGTGCGGCGATAGGCAGCTACGTCTTGCTATCAACGACTATCGGATGCCGTGTATACGCCACACTAATCGACGCTATCCCACGTATCGCCACCCACCGCCACCGCTAACCGTCTTCCGCTAGCGCACATAGACTTCGCCCACCGCTATCCAGCCCGCTATTCGCACCACTATCGCACCGCACACGCCATCCGTACTAACCCCACCGCTACGACGCTGTTCGCTATCGCCACCACTATCGCCACACTGCTATCGCCACCCGCTGTCACCACGCTACGCCACAGCTAACACTACTGCCACTCTATGCCATCAACAGGTGCAGAGCTGCGCTGGACGCCGCCGCCGCCGCCGCCATCGCCTGGTCCTCTTTCGCCCCCGCTCGCCCACCGCCCGCCGGAGGCGCTGCGCGACGGAGGCCGCCGACAGGATGCGGGCGGCCGAATTGGCATTTTGGCCTTTCCCGTTTTGTCGCTCACCCTGCGAGATATGTGCACGGTAGCCGACCTGGCCGATCGCGTGCGTTACAAATAAAAAAAATCTTTTTCGTAATTGGAATGAAAATGGGGGTTCTTTTCTAATATGAGAATGCTGATGAGGATGAGGATGCTTTGCTAATATGAGATGCTGTTTACAGAAAATTTCTATCATGTCATATTTATTAGTTACAGCCGATTTATACATTAACAATAAAGCATACTTTCGGATGTAAGAAACCAGAAATAGTTTTCAGTTTTTGTATTAGGAAGTTATATCATATAGTAAATATAATATTCTCACTAACTACATAACACCAGAAGATTGCTTTGGTAAACTGATTATTTCCCTGTAAAGGAACTCATTGCGTGATACCGTTGTTCCATTTCGGAAACGTTCTAGTGAAATCTCTCATGCCCATCATGTTGATCACTTATCATCATGTATCGCCCAAATAACCAACGTGAAACAAATACCAAAAGGGTATCTAATATTCATATTTGAATATAATTTCAACTATTTAACTACGTTTTACCTATTATGAACTAAATTTAACCAAATCCCCAAACAGTTCTTTATAATTGAGATTATTCTTAACTACCTAGTAATCCATATCATATATCTGAAAATTATTTCTTTGCTGCTTGTTCCCGACTTTTCGTTCTTGTTTTAAAAAAAGTGAATCACGATTGAGGTTCTTCGTATTTTGAGGTCTTTAAAAATACAAACAAGTTTAATATTGCCAAAAATATATCTTAAATGCTTGAGAGTTTTGATATCTTTCTGCAAAAACTTGCAAATCAAGCTTATTAAGCAATATTTATGCAAAAACGCATTTAGGAAAAAAAACTATTCTTTTTTGAAAAACATACGTTACTTTCTTAGAGTTGATATATTAAAAGAGTTTTTCTATTGACAAAAATCTCTTATCTTCAATTTTGTATTCTTGAAATGCCAAATGTGTGCAATTTCTGAAAACACAGTGAGTTCGCCGGAATGAGACTAGCATCATTTTTTTACAACAGTACATACCGATACATACTCGTACGAGAAAAAAAATTGTAAAAAAAATTGGGGAAAAAATGTTACCGAATTAAAAGTTGCCTACATTTCATGTAAAATTACATGGAAATTCTCATGCTTACAAAAAATTGTACATGACCTCATTTCAAGATGTTCAAGGTGTTTTTAGAAATCAGATTTTATTAAGGAAACAATCTCTATCATGAATATTGTACTTGTAGGAAGACACCAAAAAAATTGAACGATTGCAATTCTCAAAATAATGGGATTTTAAGGAAATGAGACCTGCACCGTTCTCTTAAGTGTCCTTTACACTACCTGAGGGCAAAGTTTCATCAAAATATTTTGATTCATTTTTGAGAAAAGTTTGAAGTTGAGGCTCCATTTAAGCACCTTCCAAAATTAGAATATCCTTTTCAATCTCAGAGGGCCTCGTGTTCTTTCATATCGCTCCGTAATGTTATTGCAAATCATAGAAAAACTGATATTCTTGTTATGCACCTTTTCATATTCTGTTTGTTGTTTAATTATTTGTGTACATCATATTCAGAAGTTCGGTTAGTAGAGATAATCATATTATCTTCTTTGGCCCCCTCCATCAGGTGCTAGGTAAGCCACTCGTTCGAGAATCTTTTAATCAAGCTCGATTAGACCTTTTTCTTAAAAATATTTTTTTTCTGTCAATCAAATCAAATACCTGTTTCCCCAAAAGACATTGGATAGTATTACCGTTTACCCAAAGAAAGCATTACAAAATACATGAGAATGCGCAGCATCAACAACAAAACTTTTATTTTTATCTTTGATAAAATTCGAAGCTCTGAATGCGTTCCCGGGCGTAAATTAACACATGAATTGATATACGTAATTGAATTTATAAAGGTTGAAATATATTCCGAAGGTCTGAAATATTATCTTAGAAAAAACTGTTTCTTGAAAGAGCATGCCTACTTCCAAGTATATATTCTCTTCATTCGAGACAATACAAATCACATAATTTATTTATGACAACAACAAAAAATTAAAATTTTTGTACTGTGATATACTGCAGAGGAAGAAAACGCGTCCCTTACTGAACTTTTCAGGGCAAAATTAATGACATTTACTTCATTTCACTGAAAAAAAAAAGTCTAAATAATCTTGTATTTAAGTTTCTTCAGGAAAGTATTCCTTTTTGCTGGACCGAGTTCGGTGAAAATGTTGATTAATAATGATTTTAATTTGAAGGTTAATAAAAATGTAGCTTAATATCTATCTGTAAGAGAAATATCAGTCATCGTAAACCCATAAGATATTTTGTCATAATATCTTTGAGACAACCGAATTGTATTCTCTGCTAGGCTAACGACACCAGTTTCGTATATTCACCCTTTTATATTGGAATATGGAAATAGTGTATGGGTTGGGCATTAAAGTAAAAGACAACGAAGTATGACAGTCTAGTTAATGTCACATGCTCTGGTATCGTTGAAAGCTTCAGCGATTTGAAACTTTTGATGTGAAATTATCGTTTTTGCCGACAGATTTTAATGTAAATTGGTATTCTGTCGATACCTTTCGCTCATATGACGGCAACAAAATCATTCAATCATTTTATGAATATCCAATCAAAAAATTCGTTTGTCGATCATAAATGACGTGCGAGAGCGTGCATAGCGTTTCACCTTAACGGATCTGATGAGGCATCAGTCACATCTTCTTTAACGAATTACTACCTCCAGAAGAGTCCGTTTGTTGATACAATTTTAGGATTCGATGTGCGGACGTAATAGTTTCAGAGTATTGTAAAAGCAATTTAAACATTGACTTTAAATGGTGGTTACTGATGTTCTTATGAATTAAACAGAATTAGGTTTCACATTTAAAGGAGGTTAGGGGTTGAATATGTTGCGTATCAGTCTACTAATGAAGTTAAGAACTCAAAGTAACTGTATCCTTGATTAAGTAATGCTATTTACTTCTGACTGAAAAACATTTTCTTTATATTTCAGATAATGTCTGAGTTTTCTGTTCTATTTTGTATTCTCTTCTGAAGACTCTCCCCCAAATACTACAAACACTATATAGTTTGTATATATCTTAAGATATGTTATACAACTGTGATAATTGTGACTTGTTTTAGGTTAATATACGTAACATATTCAGGAATGTAATGCGATGTTATTTCGTAATATAAAAAAATATTGAAGTTAACATCAATAAAACTCTATTATGCCTTAGCGATGTGCGTCTGGTTATTCGAGTAATTAGACGGATAATAGTCAAGTTTAATAACACGGAATACCGACTAAATTGTAAGAAATTGTAAACAACGGTAAATTATGTGAAGTCGTTTTTCTGTAAGAACGTTCAAGAATGATTTCAAAATCTGGCATATCAACTAGACTGATATACTCATTTGACTAGTGTTTAAAAAACTCAATTTTTTCCGGAATGATCACCAGAATAAACAACCACTTCATCGCTTGATTTATTTCTTACGATCGGAAAACGACTGGCACAATTATTTTGTGCTCTCCATGTGTTCTCTACACTGGCATCCATGGGATCATCAAAGTGTGCAGTGCACACAACATTCAGCATTCTTCCGTGAGTTTCATCATGGCAACGATCTCTTTACTCACGTTCAGAGGAGCACAGGGCAGTGAACAAATCCGGCCTTTGAAGCTGGGCGACAGTCAACTGAAGTGCTCTTGTGAAGCGACTTCTACGATCATCAGTCTATTCCTGGAGCGGTATGGAACATTCGGCAGCTTGGCTGATTATTGATGAGATTTTCCAGCCATATGAGCTTTCCTTGGTGCCCAAAAGATGCGGTTGGCGATGTGTGCGCGGCGATGGTGTTTGAGCGCGTCGATGATATAACGGTTAGCGTACCGGACTGTTGTACCCAAGTTGGCGGGTTCAAACCTGAGGGCGAAAAAACCCTTCGCACGCCTTCCTTCGGAGGGGAAGTAAAGCCGGCTGTCCCATGTTAGTAGATTTACTTGCATGTAAAAGATCTTTAATCCTAAATGACGTCTCTGAGCTAAATTGAAATCGCCTGTTTCGCGCCCAGAAATACCTCATTTCTGTGCTAGTTGGTGAAAGGAGCGTAGCGAGCGTGAGAGCAGGCCTAATGGCCTGACTCTCGCCACGTAAAATAAGGCATTAATTCAATTCAATTCAATTTAAAAGAATCATTCTCAATATTATTATGGCAGGCCACATATTCTGTGGTTTCGTAGGAACTGTTAAAAGCATAATGAACAGTTTTCATGACTCAATCAAATTATGAATAACATCATCAGCTAAATAATAGTTTCAATTATACCAAAATGAGCGTCATAGTTTTGTTAACGTAACCAATTTTTGCATACATCTTTCATCCATTGTGCTTCATTCATTCAAATTTAAAAATTCTGAATTGTGTCAGATTCTACCCAAAATAACTAAATTAAAAAATTTAGGATTGATTGTAAACATTGGTCGGAGTTTGTTTTGGTTTGTGTTTCAAGAGGAGAGAGAAGACTGTGTTCTGAAGGAGGACGGCTAACTGTAAGTATGGTCATGAAGTGCGCGGGTCCGAGTTATTTTCCAAGAGCGCAGTAAATGTGAGAAAAAGTCGTAATAGTAATGAATTAACATTATCTGCATCAATTATTATGTAAAAAAATTACACCATTTTATAATTTTTTAAAATATTATTGAAATGCACTTTATAGAATGAGATGAGAAACAATATGAAGTTCTAATTGGATTTCTGCAATTTTTGAAAGTGAAAGTTTGATTTATCTACTGCTTTGTACAGCGTACCCATAAAGACACGCTAGGTAGATTAGGATTAAAGACAAAAATTGTTAAAACTGACATTTTCATATTTTTTAACATAGAAGTAGTAAGATTTATGTGTTTTAAATGTTCACTGCGAGAACATGGTGGTGTCAAGTGGGTAGACGATGAACAATAATTT